AGTCTACAGTGGCCGGTGGCAGAATTGTCATATCTGATTAAAATCCTGATGGTGACAGATTTGTTTGTAGCTGCAAATGTACACAGCTAAGTCATCCGGGGGAACGGCACCACCGCATCAACTCGAAACCATGATAACTTTATCCATACTGTGGACCCTACCACTCGTGGACGGTGCTCCTACTGCAACTTTGCTTGTGAATTCTCACCACTTTCTAGAGCAAGCAAGCTCCAGAACAAGGTGCTTTTTCTATGACTCTACTTGGTAGCAATTGATGATTTCGTGATTGTTGTTGACGTTATTACAACTGCGTGCATCTGTGCGCGTATGCAGCAACAACTGCTCAGTGGCGCCATGCAAGTAATTCTACAGGCCACTACCGACAAACTCACAACTAACTAAGTGTTAAGGCAAGCTCCTTTTTGCAACAAGCATCAGCTTCCACCTTCACTGCCGCCCACCATTCCTGCAGCAGCATCACCACTAGACCCAAGTATAGCTACAGTTAAGGCTGATTCAATCGGAAGCCTTCATAGCTAGCTAGCTAGCTGCAGCTCCTGCAGCGTCACAACGGATGGATTCAACTTCATCGCGAGGGTGAAGATCTAGCCCAGGTTCTCGGCGAAGCTGCAGCTACCTGCTGGTCTCCTCTTTGCCCCAACCCGCCGCGAATTCACCCAGAGCTCGTCTAGATGTTGGAATCTACGCACTGCAGTTGCACTTTCAGGTTCAACCAAAGATCATTGTCCCTGGACCTGCAGTGCTGGAATCGACACCTTGTAGATCTAAATGTCTGTCGCAAGTCTGCCGCAGAGATATTCTCAGCATTGCCAGGAATTAAACAGGCTTCTGCAACAGGGTCTGATTCCTCCTCAACCTAGCAATGCCATGGCCTCTGGATTCTCATTCGCAGCTACTTTACCGTTATGATCAAATGCTGCTGGCGACGCAAGCTTGGGGTCTGAACTTTCACGCATTTGCTGCATGTCGATGCTCTGATCTCGCGGTGCCGGATCAATGGGTTTTATGGTCACGGGGGTTACAGGGCTAGGGTTTCGGTTGGACCGTGCTGTGATTGTGTTGCGAAACAACTGATCTTATTCATGATAACTGTTGATCTTAATAAACATTTAAGGTTAAACTGTATTACATGTGTGGGTGAGGTTGTTAGCATGGCACGAAATTAAAGAGTATATGTAACAATGGATTTTGGCAAAGGAGTAATGTGTGTGTATATGTATATATATATATATATATATCAATGTTTTTGCGATTTGCACAAACTAAGAAATATTTGCATATGATACTGTACAGATATGAATAAGGAAATAAATTGAAAAGTCCTGTTGTCTTTATGATGACAACAAGCAAAAATAAAATCAATATATACATGATTAAAATAATTATATTTATATCATAAAACATATTCAAAAATAAATCAGTTACTATTTTGATAGATTTAAAATTTACAATCATTTTAAAATCATCATTATATATTATGATAATTAATATTTTATTTTATTTCATTGTTATAGTATAAATTATCTTTATTTTTTAACTCAAAATTTATTGTATTATATATATATATATATATATATATATTTTTTTTTTTTGTATATATATATATACATATATATATATATATATTTGTATTCCTGAAAAGGTATGTATATATGCAATCTAGTCAAAATTTTAAAATATATGAAGATAACTGAAAACACACTTTTTGCTTTATAAATCAATTTGATTCCAATATTTTTATAGAGTCATTTGAATATTTGATTATACAATTGGAGATGATCTAATATAAATCTAATTATGAATAAAATCATATATATACTCCAGAATTTAAATTCAAAATAAAATCATATTTTGTTTCATTTCATTATTCTATATATCTAAAACATTAGTATTATTAAATTATTTAAATTTCACAATAATAATTTACATTTTATATGCAAAATTGATATTTTTAAAACATATCTTTACAAGAGAAATTTTTGCGAAATAAAATTTATAAACTCAATTTGAATAAATCGATTTTGAAACGAATTAACTTAAAGATTATATTTTGAAATACGTATGGTTTTTGTTGTGAGATATATGCAACATATTAAAATTGCACGCAATTGTTTTAGAATATTTTAAAGCTTTTTACGATCTTTCACATCCCTTCTTTTAGACCTTTGGAAACCTTTAAAGCTTTCTAAATTCTTATTTAGGATTTTAGAATGTTCCATTACTGTCTGTAAGTTTGAAAGAATCTTTCAAAAAGCCTCTGTGGGTGTCATAAACTTTTCTGATTTCTAAAACTTTCCATAAAAGATTTTTTCAATTCTAGGATATAGATGTTAACACTTCTAGCAGGTTCTTTAAAAGTAATTTTTTATGGTATAAATTAAGAAGCAAAATGTAACACACTTGCTCTTCAGATGAGAAGTTTTGAAGCAATATTAGTATTGCATTGTTTCTAATATAGTATTTTGTTTCTCTTGTACTTATTCATCTCATGGTCCCTAATATAGACATTCTTGATACTTAAGAGTCAAGGCAAGAGGTTTTTGCCTTTAAATTCTTTAATTGGGTGAAATTAAGAAGTTCCATTTAGTTGGCTTTACACTTTGGAAGTTGAATCCAATGGTCTTAAGTAGAAAAAGATGTTGTCTCTTTCTCTCTCTCTCTCTCTCTCTCTCTCTCTCTTTTTTTTTTTTTTTTTTTTTTTTTTTTTTTTCCATCTATAGAGCATTAATAATATTGTTTCTTAAAGTATGTCCTAGATCCACCCAGAAGATGTGTTCTATTAAAAAAATCAAGAAAACCATGTCTGGAATTGCTGAAATAACTATATATATATATATATATATATATGAGTTATTTGTAATAATTCTTACAATCAAGACATGAACTCATATATTTAGACTTATAAAATGTGTAGTAACTGCTTGGACTCAGGTAAAATATATATGAAAGAGAATGTGGGTAGAGAAATGAAGGGCTTAACTTCTTCCACACTTTAGATCTACAAATCATTGAGATCTGACAACATGGATCAAGCTTCCTACTATGATATGGTTATACAATATTAATAGATGGGATTTGGTGATTTTTTTATATATTGTTAAATATTTTACAAAAATTATATCCATGCTATAAACGAACTTAAACCACAACAAATGTTTTGTCAATAATGTTTTAGTCTCTAAACCAATATATATATATATATATATATATATATGTATGTATATATTAAAAATTATTAAAAAATAAATTTTACTTGAAATCTTTGTATTGATTTCATAAATAAAATTATTATAATATGTTAAAAATAAAAATTCTGTAAATAAATTTACTTTATTATTAAAATATAAATACAAAATTTATCAAATATTCAACATAAAAAAATTGGTGATTTAACCATATTCAAATTAAATATTATAAAATATCTAATTATTTTACTCTTGAAGATTTTTTTTTGACTTTTTTTTGACTTTTTTGACTTTTTTGATTAAAAGCAATATAAATTTTGTTGGATTTGCCAAAGTGATATTGAGAAGACACAAATTAGGCTATATTTTAAAGCTACTTGATTATTTATTTAATAATTAATTATCTCAAATTTTAAAGTACCAAAATAAGATATGGAGTACAAATATAAATTATTTACATGTTGATAAATGCCTATATTTATTTTGCTAACGTATATATAATTCTTAATTTAAAATTAAATTTATGAACTTTACATGTCTTTATTCATATATACATTTGTATATAAACACATAATTATAATTTAATAGAATCATTGTTGGCCAAAATCACTAAAAATATATACTCTTTTACAATGAAAAAATATATATTACTTTTTCATGTATGTTGCCTTTCCTAACATGTTGCCCTTTCACAATACACTTATCTAAATATTGTCAATATATTATTCCAAAAATAGAAAATCCAAAAATACCAAAAATAAATGTAGTATTTCCTTTTTTATTTTTTTAAAGCTAGCTATTTTAGATGTTGAAGTAAATAAGAATTGCCTTTACCAACAATAAGAAATAAGAAATAAAATAAAATGGTTCTGTTGTTATTTGATTTTTTTTCTTTTCATCTTTTCATTTTTCTTTTTGGATTGACATTTCTTTAAGAGTTGTTGATTTTTGGCTAACAAATTAAAACATTATAACCTTTTTGTGCCCAACAGCACGGATTTCCACTAACATACATACATACATACATACATATTTATACACACATATAATTTACATGTTATATACACACACAAATACACAATTTTACATGTTCAAACAAAACACAACACACATACATACATAATTTACACACAATTTTATAGTATTGAAGCATGTACAGAGATAGATATATATATATATATACGATGTACACTTTCTGATGTCATGGAACAACCAGGGATACAAAAGAATAACACAAAAGAATGGAATACGAGAGAAGCAGTGGCATGAAACCAACCAACACTCCCTCACCAAAACTAACTGGATTTGGGTTCGTGTCGTCACGCGCCGTCGCAGTTAGGCTGGTTCGCCACCATATGGGCGGGCATCCATCGATGCCCTTGGCTCGCACCACAATCTACACACATCGCCGCCGCAGCAGCCGACGCAGCCCCGAAGCAGGCGCACTATTATAAACAAAGGGGAGGACAAGGGAGGGTGGATGCGAGAGATCCAGAGACACCCCCCAGTAATAGACAAGCACAGAAGCAGCGGGGGAAGAAAGGGGCGGGGGGGAGTGAAGGAGCCCGGTACTGACTTACAACAATGGAGATCCAAGCTTTGGCATGGCTAGACTGGTCGTGATACTAAGGCCGGATGTCAAGCCCAGATTCCAAAACAAATGCCCTTATTTCACGCAGTCGACGAATTGCTCCCGCCACACAATCCGTGCTTGCAGCCATCCGGGGCCCCACTCGCCTCCGCCCGATCTTCACTTCCTGTGCCGGCACAGAGACGTATTTCAACTGAATACCTGTTTATAATCGCAGACCTCCTACACCTGCGTCGCTGACTAGATGTGCGGCTGCCTAACTGCTACGTCTACCCTTCCTCTCTCTCTCTCTCTCTGCTAGCTTCGTACGTCATTGTTGCCATCGATCGGTAGTTCTTGACCATCAGCATCGACACTAATAGCTCCTAGCTCACGCATCCGCGCTGCTGCTGTTGCAGTTGTTGTTTTCGGAGGACTGGGCCAGGTGGGCGGCGGCTGTGTGTGTCACCACATTCCTTTGTGCATTGATGTCGAAATTGGCTGCTAAGCCACCTTGAGAGTCGGGGCGTCTGGTTTCGGGAATCGAAGGTGCGTGTGTTTCCGCGGCGGTGGGTGAAATGAGAGTGTTGGTTCGGGTTATTTTTGGAGTCTGGTGGTTGGTTTGGAATTGGATGTGGCGATGGGATCCGGCGGCTGTCGTGGACTCGGTGGACACGGGCCTTCATTGAGTGATCTCGTGCTGAATGGATCGGGCATGGGCTGGTTTTATGTCCAGCTGAAGAAGAATGTCCGTAGTAGCGTGCGCTTGTTGGGTCTGGTTTTGAAAAGTTGATTATGCCTGAGCTTAGGTTGTCTCCCTCTTGATTTTCCTGCGCGCTGCTTCCCGTGTGCGGCTCTGCATCTTCACCGACTCATCACTTGCATTGTGTGCTACTTGTGTAGCTGGATGCAGTCTATACTTCATGTCAGATTCGTGCATGAGGTCGTTCGATGGGTTAGGACACGGTTCCGTCGTGTGGAAACATTCACTCTTCCATAACCTTTTTGGAGGAAGGATGTTTTCTGCACTACGCACCTATTCTTGACTGGTTGAAATCGATGTAGGCCAAGGGATTATTGCACGCGGGTGTTCTGGCTTGGGAGTGTGTCAGCGGGGGTGGTTTTGACTGTCTGGGGGCTTCTTGCAATATGCGATGAAAGTTGTGGATGCCAGGGTTGATTTGTCCTTGACAACAAGCCCACTTTGTAAGCGACGTGCAAATTCTGTCTCACCCTCTTAGACAATTTTCTTCTGTCTCCGCGGCTGCCATTTCTAAACGGATGCTGTTCTCTCCAACATCGTAGCGCCTCGTTGACTTCATTCAATGCGTTTCTTGTGTGTTCAGTTGGTTGGCTAACGGCGTTTTCTAACTGCGGCTAATTGTGTATAACGGCTGTCATCTTACACTTGGTGCCCTCTACCTATGCCCTTAGATTCAGCGGATGGATTCAAAGCAGTAAGCATAAAGACTGAGCGGTGGTTGAATTATCACTGAGGACGGCGGTTTGCAAGAAATTTGCAAGGAAGAAATTTAAGCTGTAGATACGATGGTAGAATTCTTTGAAGAGAGCTCCAGCAATGGTGTGCATGTCAATGGCACTACTCATCAAACGTCAGCATCCAACAGGACATCTCATCAACCATCCGCCACCAAGACAGCAGCAGCTGCCGAAGCGGAGCCTAAAAAGCGATGTTTGTGGTTCGAGGAGGAGCTGGAAGAGGACCTGCGTTGGGTGTTCGGTGTCTCCAAGTAAGTTTCTTTCTTCTATATTTCGTGTTTGTTGTCTTTTTACTAACCTGGAGTGAAGGTTTTGTCAGCTGTGTGTGGAATCTTTCATAAGAACACTCAGTTCCGATTTGCTCCGAAGGGAATTCTTTAGACCAACTGAGCAGTAGGTGCCTTCTGAGCACGGTCTGTAAGGACGCCATGTCCCCATTGTAGCAGTTATCTTGTTCTCTCCGTTTTTTTTAAGTTACGGTGCTCTAGAATCGACATCGTTTGTGAAAATGGGAAACTCAATAGATTCCTTCCATTGCCACACCTAATGAAGTAAACCCACTCATAACCCACTCATAACGAGAGTCAAATGGGAGTGCGTCCAGCAGCCTCTGAGATGGAGAGATGTATCCAGCATGGCACTCATATCCGATCCGACCACTCAACGGTTGCTGTATAGCCTCTAATAAACTCTCAGGATTTCAAAGGTGTAGGGTTCTGCTCTGATAAGCGTGCTTGTTTTGCTTCAACACGCCATTCCTGTGCTCCAGCAGTGCTGCTTGTTCTCGTCATATCGCCTAACGGCAAAACCATTCTCAATCCCACCACCATCCTTCTTGGATGAGGATATTAGGGCGGCCTTCTGGTCTACATCCTAAACTTAGAACACCCAACTTTATACATCCCTGACGTTGGTCAAGTTGTAAATTTCCTACGCGCTATCTCGATGAAGTTTTTAGAAATCGTGGAATGTCCAGGACGGGTTCAAGCATCCACTATTTGCTCTGAGATTCGAGACCTGTGTCTAATTTTAATGGCTGGATTGCACTGTCTCTGGCAGGATCCTGCACACTGGCGTCAGCGAATTTCAGGATATTGAGTTGGTGGAGAGTGGGCCTTTCGGCAAGGTTAGCTCACCTGGACGCAAGTGCCTTCCCTACCTTGTCGCTTCCTTTTTTGGCCACTTTTATTTTAACAGCATCCATTGTTGTTGCAATCTCTCACTGGGTTAAGATAATGGGCGACATACAGGTCTTGATATTAGACGGCAAACTTCAGAGCGCAGAGGCAGATGAGTTCGTCTACCACGAGTCCATTGTGCATCCAGCTCTGCTATATCATTCCAAGTAATTCAACTCTTTTCCTGAGTAGATTCCTCTTTCAGCTATTGCAATACCACAGGGTCGATCAAGAGTTTATATAACCCCAGTTTTAAAATGGAGAATAGGAAGATGATGTGCGTACTGTTGTATCTCATGATCTTTCAGCCCCAAAAGTGTGTTCATAATGGGTGGTGGTGAGGGATCAACTGCACGTGAGGCTCTTCGACACAGAAGCGTAGAGGAGGTTGTCATGTGTGACATCGACGAGGTGAGCTTGCCCTCTGGTCAAATCTGAGTTGTTGTGATGTGCAGGGTTTGATTTACGTTGTACTAGAGAAGTGATCGCTGAAAGGGCGTGAGTTGCTGGCTATTGCGCAGGAAGTTGTTAATTTTTGTAGGAAGCATCTCACCGTCAACGCTGAAGCTTTTCGCAGCAACAGACTGGAACTCGTTATCAACTGTGCCAGGTTTGTCAGTTTTGTCCCACTCCACGCTTCAGCTCTTGTTCACCAAGGAGTTTATTGGTTTTTTGTTACTTTTTTTTTGATGCTGGATGGGTTGAACATGACAGGGCAGAGCTGGAAAACAGAACCGAGCAGTTTGATATTATAATCGGTGACTTAGCAGATCCAGTTGCAGGAGGCCCTTGTTACCAGCTTTATACGAAATCTTTTTATGAACACGTTCTCAAGCCAAGGTTGAAAGACGGTGGTATTTTGGTCACACAAGTGAGATGTCTTACTCAGATGTCATATACAGGATTCTTTGCTCGACGCATGATTAAATGCTTTTTAAGCTACGTACTTGTTCTACACGAATGTTTCAATGCACTGTGAAAGCATTCGCAGTTATTTGTCTACTGATATGGTTACTATTTGGCACAATGTTACCCAAAATGCCAGGGAGGGCCTGCAGGTATCTTAACACACACAGAGGTCTACTCCTCTATTTACAACACATTAAGACAAACATTTAAATGTAAGCAAATCCCCATGCTTATTCCACAATGGTCGTCTCAACTTCGACGGGTCGTATTGCATCTTATGTTCTATTATATTCTGTTGCTGTGTTTTCAAGTGACTGGAATTCGGGTTTACCTTATAGTCTGTCATGATATATCAGGTTGTTTCCTGCTCTCATCTTCAACTGAAATCTTGGCTTGCAGACGTAGTACCGTATGCAGCACATGTACCGTCTTATGCTGATACTTGGGGCTGGATTATGGTTAGTTACCCTTCCTTACTTATGATGCATCTATGATTCCGAAGTTTCTGGGAAATTTGTTGTGGTTACTTTCGAGCTATTTTGTTAAAATAAACAAAGCAAAATAAATTCAAGGAATTGTATTTATCTTCACATTTCGCAAACTGGGGTTTGAACCCTTGTACAGGCTTCAGACCAGCCTATCCCGGCGATCAGTGCTGAGGAGACTAACCTCAGAATAAAACAACGGATTAATGGGGAACTCAAGTTCCTAGATGGGCAAACCCTGTCTGCAACCCATGCCCTAAATAAGCATGTCCGAAATAGGTATACAATTTCCCTCTCTCTCATATTCAATGATATATTCCAAGCGTGAAAGTTGTATCATCTATCATAAGTAGCGTAAGATGTGTTCACCATTAGAGAATCATTAGTTTAGAGTATGTCTAGTTTTGATGTAATGGAGTTCGTTCATCCACAGCTTAGCAGCAGAGCGACATGTATACACCGAGGAGACGGCACGATTCATCCATGGACATGGTACTGCTTCGAAGAACTAAAGTTATGCCTCCTGAAACTCAGAGTGGTTATGGTAACCAGTATTTTTGCCGTGATTGCCAACTCTAGTCTGGCTGACAAATTTTGCTCATCTGGCAAGTGGAAATCCTTCGGTGGATATTTTCATACCATTCTTCCTTGTTCTGAGCTTTATCGCCGAGATACCTTAAGATCAGATTTTGTATCCACCAAATCGTGAATTTATAGTTTTTTTCTCAACTCCCTTCCTAGAATGTACCCAAACAGTGTGAGGACAGTTTTGGATAACCCTCCTTCACTGAGTGACCTGGGTTGATTGGCCTCTAAGTTTAATCAGCACGTGACAAGGAGCTTAAATGGGAATAGCGATTACATGTGTTGTGATAAGGATCAAATTTGGGGCTCCGGGGAGTGATCGTATCCTAGAGTATTTGATGACATATCAGTATTTGCCATTTTGATGTTTTTGAAACGAGGTTTCGAAGCCAGACGCTTTAGGGTTGAGAAGCTTGGGCTTCCTGGTTTTTGCTTCAATGCCAAGTGTTAAGTAAAAGACCATATGTGTTATCTATGTTGAAGATTGATAGTGTTAAAAACTTGGTTGGCATGGGTTCTCGTTTTACGTTAGCAAGCAATAGGTGGTTGTCTGTATAAAGCTTATTACGCTGTTGAACAGGACACATCAAATTGCATTGTGGTGAACCCACCAGCTCACAGAAACGAATTCTTTCACTTTCACGAAGCACAACATTCAGTTCCCCGTGGGAAAGTACCTGTCACAGCAGGATGGGAAGGACCAGATAAATGCCAAGTCTTGTGACTTCGCAAGTTGAACCTCCGACTTCCATTTCGAAATCAGCACTTTAAACCCCAAAAAAGATACCTCACTATCGCTTGTGACCACATCCCTCGAACAGCGAGATTCTCCCAAACCACTCCTCGCAAAAGCTAGCAATAAAAAAATAGAAACCAATCCATCCACCAGACTTGCGAGAAATTTCAGAAATCTACAGCTTCGGAGATGCTCCTTTCTATCCATTTCACAAGGCTTCAAGTTCTGCATTCCCAAGCCTCATCCTTTTCTGGCTTCACTGTCGTCATACAGCTGCTTTTTTTCAAACATATTCCACACACGTGAAACTCACCATTAAATTAACTGGCAGAATATGCAAGTTGCCAGGAGATGGTATCGTTTTGCTGGAATGAAAAACTAGTCTCACTAATAGTTGGTAGGATTCCAGTGGGTTTCATAATCGTAACAATCACGTCTTTAGACCAGACTTTTTCTCACTTTCTCTACCACTGCAGCACACTGTGTACGTGCCCACTACAGTATATTGTGTGGAATGGTATAAGGTAGACAACCCATTTCTAATAACCCATTTCCTATAACTTAAGCATTTTGGCATATATCCAATAGATGTAAAAATGGAAAACAAATACCCCCATGTGGGAAAATAGAAACCAAGAGGATTCCAAGTATTTTCACACAATTTGTCCCCAAAAAGGAATTTATATATATCTTTTAGATGAAGATTTTATTTTGACCTATTCTAGACATTTGGGCCTACCTAATACTGACTGGGGGTGGATTACAAAACCAAGAATCCAACTTCTACAAAATTGTGATATGTAGCATCTATTAATGCTATCAAGAGAAGTGTGAAAGTATGTGACTACTTAGTTGTTTAGCTTGTATTAGCAAATTGAGAATTAATTAAGCATTTAGAAAAAAGATTTGTCTTTTATCAATGTTGTAACTATATTTTTCTTATACAAAGTGTTTTAAAGGTTCTTTTACATCTTGGGGCATTGTGGGGATTTTATTATGTGCAATTAATTTTGAAATTAAAAATAAATATATAAGATTTATGATTAATCATTCTAATTCAAATCTTGTTTCATAACTTGATAAGAGATCATTTGGATTCTTAAAATACTAAATTATTATATACTATCTAAAAATTCTAAGTAGTCTTTTAATGAATAGATGATAATATATTATGAATAGAAATAAACTTGTTTTATATTTGGTGGGAAAAAATAGATTGTGTTTAAAACAAGTCAAAGTAGATTTTGAAGTTCCTTCAAAATCTTCCTTCAGTTTGAAGACACCTTCAATTAAACTTTAATTACATTTAATCAAGTTTTTAACTTTTTTTTAGATATAATACTAATTGTATTAATTTTTTTCTATAATTTCATTATATAACGACTTGCTTTTTAAAATATTAAATATTAATAGCCTTATATTAGGTGTATAAAAAATATACTTTTTAAGCTCTCTATTTGTAATATATATATATAGTAATTATAGCCAATAATTTATAAAAATAATATTGGTCTATTTTATTTATTTATAACATAAAAATGATTATGCACCTTATCTTTAATATGTTGTAGTATAATTTATCTATAATTTATAAATGATATCTTTTTGAATAATTATTTTAATCAATTAGAATCTTATTTCAATAAATTTATTTTTCTACATAAGATAATGATTAGATTATTTATTTTTTTCTTTGACTATTTTCATATCTCCTACTAATAAAATCCATCTTTCTTTATTATTCATTAATTCATCTCTATTTTGATCTTATGTAATTGGTGCTAATTTTAAATCTGTAAAAGTTTATATCAAATAAAATAAAGTCATACCAAACATAAAATTCTTTATAATAGTACTTTAATTTTATTTTTCTCTAGATTAAAGAAAAAAAAGTCAAATTCTTAAACTTCTACTAAGCAGGTGGTTATATTTTTATATAAAAAAATTATACATATATATATATATATATATATATATATATATATAATATTTTTTAATAATTAGATGATTTTATACTAAAAGTATTAAATAAAATTAATAACTATAATTAGTATATTAATTTTATAAGATATAAGAATATTTTTTTTTAATATTTGTTGAAATATTTTATTTTTTAATAAATATTTTTTATTATTTTAAAATTGGATTCTTATGTTAAAGTAAAATCTAAAATAAAATATATAATTTAAATATATATGATGAACTAGAAATAAATTATCTATAATATATATATATATATATATATATATATATATGTGTGTGTGTATGTGTATGTGTATTTTCTAATTCTAATTTTTATAAGATCTAATTTTATTGACAAAATCTTTTTTTACTTAGTAAAAAATTAGCTCTTAATATCAAATAAATCATCAAAGAAATCTTACATTTTTAATTTTTTTTTAATATAAGTAGGATATTCATTGACCTTTTGAAATCTATTATAGATATATTTAACTTGGATTTGATTTGTTATTAATACACTATATAGGAGACCAAAAAAAACTTAAATAAAAGAGTTTTAACAATAAATTAACAAAAAATTGATTAAATTAGATGAATATAAGATCAACACCAAGAAAGGTGAGCTAGAGCTCTAAGAGATGTATTGTTGAAATTGAGGATCTTCTCAACCTCGACTACAATATATACTAAGTATTAGGAAGCTTTTCAAGAAGTTCTCATATTGCTTGAAGTTGAAGCAACCTTAAGAAGCTTCTTGAAAAGTTTTCATATTGCTTGAAGATAAAAAAAATCCTAAGAAGCTTTTCAAATAACTTTATTAATCTTCTTAGAATTTTTTTAAATATTTTAGAATATTTTTAAAATCATTATAAAATCTTATAGAATCTTTTAGAACCTATTATAATATTTCTAATATATTTCTAAAATCTTCTTGTTAGATGTCTATAATATCACCTCCCTTTGTAATTCTAAGTTTTAAAAGAAGCATTGATTTCATTTCTACTTTTTTTTTTTATATATAAAATATTCTAGCAATAACTTTATAAAAAATTCATCTTGAAATAGGTTTAGATTTTTGAAGATAGTATCAATGAAAATCTTGTAATTTTTGTGACAAATTTATTAGATTTTTTTCTGGTTTCTACATATGCTCGTTGACATCATAGCCATGCTAATAAATAAATATTCCAACTTACCTCTTCTTCACGAAGAATCAAAGATTTTTTCGACCTCATATTCTATATGATTATCTATTTCAATGTAAGGCAGTCATGATTGTATTCTTTTTGAAAAAATTAATTTTGAATAAACGTCTAAAAAAGAAACATGAAAGACTAGATGTATTTTTATGGATATAATTAGTTCTAATTGATAAGCCATTGAATTGATTTGCTTTTGAATACAAAATGGTCCCAATCTTTGGTAGTCCAACTTATTGCAAGGCCGATTGATCTTGATATTTTGTTAAAGAAGCAATATTTTATTTCAAAATTAAAAAGCAAGGAATATTTTAATTTTTTTTTAAAGATGCTTTGTAAGAATCTTAAGTTGCATGTAAACAGAGCTTCAAAGTTGATTAGAGTTGTAACAATTACTTTACAAGATCTTTAGTTGTAAGATTTTCATCTTTTAGTATACCTAAAAAATTAACCTTTGGATGATAACCATAATTAGAATAACATGATATTTGCTGAGTTGAAGCATGAAGAGTATTATTATAAGCAAACTTTGTTAAAGATAAATACAAGGTCCAATCATCTTGTTAATAGTTGATGGTATATTATAAATATTTTTCTAAAATTTAATTGATTTGTTTTTTTTGATCATTTATTTGAAGACTAAAGACGTGGAAAAGTTTTATATCTACCTTCAATATTTTAAAAAAGGATTTTCAAAAATTTGATATAAATTGAGGTCTTCAATCAAAAATGATATCAAATAGGCCATAATATCAATATATCTATATATATATATATATATATATATATATATATTATTAAAATAAAGTCTTATCATTTCTTCTCTAAAACTTATCTTTGTATATAAAATAAAATATGACATTTTTGTAAGTCAATCTACAACAATGTAGATAGCATCAAATCTAATTGATGGTAGTAGATCAATGATGAAATCTATTGATAATGAAGACCATATTTTCTTTGAAATTGGTAGGAAATGTAGAAGTCTGTAAAGACCATGCCAAAAATTCTTAGAACTTGAACAAATGTCTTATGAGAGAACAAAGTCCTTCATGATTTTCCACATTTGAAGCCACCAAAAATCATTGAGAGACAAGCTCTAATGTTTTGTTAAACCCAAAATATCTTGTAGTTGAAAAATCATAATAAGATTGAAGAACTTAAAGTTGCTTTGGTCCTTTTGGAATATATAAATAGTCTTCAAAATACAAAAGATCTTCTATAAATAAGAACTTATTGTTGTTAAGATATTGCTTGATATTACAAACTAATAAGTCTTTAAGTATTATTGCATAGATTTTTTTAAGAAAACTTAAAACAACTTGTATAATCATAAAAATAATATATAGATATTTTATTATTATATACACTCACATTCAATTCTACCAACTTAATTATTCACCAACTCAACTAAATTATTTATCCACCTACTTAGCCTATCTATCTACTTACTTCTCTATCCAACCTACAAACTAATTAATTCCATTGCAAGGACCAAAACATTTACGGCTTGAGATTCTAATTAATCCCAAGTCACCAGATCCTAAATCCTACATCACTGTGTATACAAGAGTTGTGAATTTCA